ACACTTATAAAATCCTTTTGTACATACGGCAAGAGACGTGATGACAAAGTTCTCCTCGGGTCCCGCTGTGCTGCCTTCCCTCCCCTCCTCGCCATGCGTAAAATCAAATTAAAATTAGCGAGTTTGCCGAGGGAGGGAGGGGAGAGAAGTAGGGATATGTGGAGGGATGGAGGGAAGGTGTGGATGGAAGTGAGGGAGGGAGGGAGGGAGGTGAGGTGAGGGGAGAGAGGTAGGGATATGTGGAGGGAGGGAGGTGAGGTCAGGGGAGAGAGGTAGGGATATGTGGAGGGATGGAGGGAAGGTGTGGATGGAAGGAGGATGGGAGTGAGGGAGGGAGGGAGGGAGGGAGGGCTGGTGAGGGGAGAGGAGGGAGGATGGATCGATCCCGTGTCCCGGCGTCACTGGTCTGGTTGAGGTAGTGTTGACTCCTGTTCTTCCCAAGTTTAAAGGGAGAATGAATGAGGAAGGGGAAGAATGAGACAGGTAGAGAGAGCGAGAATATGAAGAGAATGAGAGACAACGAACGAGAGAGTGAGGTTGATACTAAATAACAGAGAACGGGATATCGATGAAGAGATGAAGAGAAAATGTGTGGAAGAAAAAATGAGACAAACAGAGAACGAGAGAATAATGTCCGTGTCTAGTGCAGCTACACAGTAAAAGAGAGTAACGTTTTACCGTGTGAGGTCATTAGATCTGTTCTATAATCTGTATATCACAGTTTGTCTTGATGACAGAACAAAAACACTCGTGTTCATTTCAGTACACAGTAGTCCTCCAGATATGGAGAGTTTGAAGATAAAATAGATTTAATGTTTCATAACTCACACAAGGAAGAAATCAGTGTTTATTAAATAGTATTATTAATAAATAATGATTATGTTTAAAATTTATAGTGATAATATTATCAATAAATATCGATTACGATGATAACAATAACAATAAGTAAAAATATTGATAATAACGGGTTATACACACGGGGTAATCTCTTACCTCGCCTATAAACAGCTTTAAATACGTCTAACAAAACTATGTGTCATTCTATGGTTTGTGAGTTACGTCACGTTGTTGGGAGACATTTAGGTCAAATTTTCCTCTTTTACTTTAATATCAATGACGTCATATGATTTAAGAGTCGCTGGGGTTAAACGTTTGTATTTATTGTTTGAAAGTCAAATTCTAACACTAGCTATATATATATTATATTTTCGGAATTTTATATGGCCATATAACTTATCTCCTTTATGTAATTCACAAGTAAAACATGAGTAGAGACGAATTCTCCATTAATTATCATGCCGCGTTCATGGACCACTCCCCCAACCATATGTCATGTGCGAATAAAACTCCTGTACTATGGTGGACAAAAGTTTCTTCTCTCAGCCAGCCACAATGTGACTGAATCACCTGAGGTTCGAATAACGAAGCAACTGAGGCAAGTGCTGTAATCGCCCAACAGATGGCGCACTGTGTAGTGGGTATGACGGGGAATGGGGACCAATGAGGGATTGGGGCCAGAGGGTGAAAGAGAGGGAGGGCCGAGGGAAGGGACTTTTGTCCACCATAGTACCGCGTTGGTCTATCAGTATGCTGTCTCAATCCGGATTGCATAAACAACATTCTCAAAAAATTGGTACAAAAATTTTTGCCTGCGCTTGAAAAAAAATTAAATCTTTACAATTTTATATTATTACGTGACTGGGTATGTTTTTATATCCCCATTGTGTGTGCTGGAAAAATAACTTGTTTCCCGCATGCGCCTGTCCGTCCTTATATATAAAACGACCGTCAGTCAGTCCGATAACTACTTCCGTCCTACACAAGTGTGTAGGACGATTTTGGCCTTTTGATGTTTTGCGGCACAACGCCTTTCTTTGCTCGTGTGTGTGTGTGTGTGTGTGTGTGTGTGTGTGTGTGTGTGTGTGTGTGTGTGTGTGGAAACATGTCATGAGAAAATAAAGGTTACACTGAGGTAAGAGGCGCTTGATACACTCCATCCTCTCTGATAAACGATGTGGTGTATCCGGAATCCCAATTAAGATGTTCCTGCCCAGATTAATGTGAGTTATCTGATCAATATAACGGATCACCCTGGATGTACGTTGGCAGGTCCATGGAGGGTGTTGGGACCGATCACTCAGTCTGTCAACGATACCTTGGTGACAAATCTGCATAAACATTGTCAATTTCCTTCAGGCCTTAACATCTTTAGATTTAAACTGCATTTTTAGTTTGTTCCGTGACAGAAGACGGAGAGATGAACTGAGTCAGTGAGTTGTCATAGGTTTTGGTAATATGATTGTTGGGGAACAGAATAAGGGTGCTAATACAGACTGATGTAGTATATGATAAATAGATATACACACATGCACTCAGTCAATAACCCTATATATTCACACACACACACACACACACACACACACACACACACACACACCAACATATAATCATAAACAAATGTACAGTCCCCTTCACTAGTGCGTTTACAGGGGCTCATCATTAAGCATTCCACAAATTATTCCACAGTATGTTTACTATTGTGAGTTTCCTTCTGTCAAATGTAAACAAACAAAGGGCTGCCACACTGCATAAAACCTGACGAGCCCCTGTAAACGCACTAGTGAAGGGGACTGTACATACACAACTACTACCCCACACAAACATAGACCCCTTCACCCTACACAAACACGCACACACACACACACACGTACATACACACACACAAACACAGCAGCAGCAGGACCCACCCTGGTGTGATAAACAGACCCAACAAGCATCGGCCGGATAATTAATACTTCTACCTTGGGGTTCCTATTACAGCCAGGTGCCTGTCAGTGGGCAGCCCACACCCCTTGTTCTTCCCTACCTTCGCCAGGCGAACCACGGGTGCTCAAGGGCTACTCCACAGACCATCTAGAGACGTGTTTTAGTGATCGTATACTAAGGTATTTTACTGTGCCCGAAAAGCTTGATACATGTAAGGCAGCTGCCGCAGTACTGTATATTTGGACACAGTTCCCAACACATCACATGTCTCTAATGCCTTTACAGTACGTGACGTTAAGTTACCTTAGTTTAGATTTGGGTAGATTACGTTATTTATGCCGGGCTTGGCTAAGTTAAACCGGGTTAGGTTTAGTATTAACATTTTGTATGGCAGCTGCTTATATTGCCAGCCTAGTTACATCCTCGATAGTTTAGATTAGGAAAGATAAGATTAGATTAGGTCAGTTTAAACTGTATTCAGTTAGGTCATATTAGGTTTGCTTAAACTTGACGGAATTTTGGCCTGTACAGTGAGTCACCCACCTATGTGTCCTATCCTCAGCCTCTTTCTTTACTTTCTATTTTCTCAACCAGGACCCCTTCCACGCCACCACGAGTCGAGTATGCAGATGAGTGTGGTTTCCAGCGCCTCCGTGGGCCAGGAAGACAATGCCGGGGTGATTATTGGAGTAATAACCGCGGCGGGACGCACTCAGCTCTTCATGTGTCACTTCCCAGGGGGCAGCTGGAGACGCCATCTTGGAAGGGTGGAGGTGACGGGAAACGTATAGTGGCGCTAATCGCTCCTTCACTTATTATCCTAACGTGCATTTACGTAATTCAGGTTATATATTTCTTTCGTGCTACGTGGTACAGTACGGCATTAGTATCTAAAGAATTTCCTGGTGGAGAATTAAAAGTGCGGTATTAAAATATTAATAATTATTATAACAATAATACTAACAGTAATGGTAATAACAATGAACTAATTGATTAACATATAAATAAAATAATAATAAATAAATAAATAAACATAATGATAATATTGTACACAGTTCTCAAGCATCGTGTAATTTATTAAAACATTCTCCAGTAGCCACATTAACCTAGGTGCTGGTAACACGAATGGTATTAAGGAAACAGAAGACATGAAGCACGTGAGTAAGAAAAAAAGAATCAATTAAAAAATACAATGTGAAGCAGTTAAGGATGGAGAACCAACGTCTTTATGCAGATATCTGTTGCAACAGATAATATTTTGGTCAATTCGGTGCTGTATTTTTAGCCCTTGTTATCTCTCTCAAGGCAAAGACAAGTACAGTATATGTTTTTAAGGGTGGTTACGTTGTGTGTGTGTGTGTGTGTGTGTTTAACTTCGTCGGCTATCTCTTCCTTGTTAAATAGGATTTATCTGTCTTTAACAATAAGAAAAGCATTTATTTTATTCAAGAAATTCACTCTGGTTCCGTAGCCTCTGACGGTGAGGACATCCTCGTAATATTTCATTTATTTGTTTGTGTATATTATACTGCCGTTTTACGGGGCATGGCACTGTGTCTGAAGATCTTCGTTTCCGCAAGAGAACATTTATTCGACATTATCGTACTTTCACTAAATCCCACTTGGGATATACAGATGTTTATTGGTTTTGGAGACGAAAGATGAAAGGTGAAGCCCCCCAAGGCCACTTGTTCAAACAAAACCAAACACCAGCCTCTGTGTGGCAGCGTCGTACTGTACATGTGCGATATTCTTGTTAGTTTTTTGCTTTTGTTTCTGCCATATATACTGTATACTGTCTTTTACGTTGATTTTTTATATTCTATAATGTATATTTTCTCGTTTGAATTACAAAAGCAACGTACCTGGTATAATGTTAACTCGGTATTGTGCAGTATAATATTGTTAGTTCTCGTTACTCCCGGTTACAGCTATTGTTACAGTATGATGCAAACCATCTAGTATATAAGCTCCGTCAGGGGAAATAGGAATTAATAAATCTTGATTGGGTTAAATCTACCCCAAACTCGTATGCAAAATCCTGTTCTCAAGTACTTGTACACTTAGTAGCGTCGTGGCAACTGCGGTACTGTACCGACACAAGGGAATCTTCGCCCGCCTCCGTTGATTTATTTTTGTTCCCAAAGAAAATTGTACAAGAAGATAATATAACATGTACAGTATAAGAATTAACGAAAGAATGAAAGAAAACAAAGAATAAGGGGAATTCTTTATGAAATGAGACAAATAATTAAGGAAATGTTAACTTAAAACTTACACCTATAGGAGAGGAAATATAAGAAGAAAGAAAAGAGACGAAGAACAAGGAGAAAAAACAATTCCTGACTCGCCCGAGGCTGGTCATTAAAAGCTGGAGGTTGAGACAGATGAAAGCGGTAATGAATGAACGGTGAAGTAAGCGTGAGGGAGAGGTTGGGGGGAGGAGAGGAGAGGTCGGGGGCAGGAGGAAAGGAGAGGAGTGGAGGGGAGAGGACAGCCTGCCACACTAACCCCCATCCCCACTCCTCCTTCACAGCCCGGGGATTCAATTAACCACCTGGGTTCAGATTCTCAAAGATTCATACGTTCATTTTCTTCTCCCTCTCGACTAACTACATTAAAACGCGTCTAGTTATGGTAAAGTCTCTCTCTCTCTCTCTCTCTCTCTCTCTCTCTCTCTCTCTCTCTCTCTCTCTCTGCAATTTCGACATTTGGGTTTCGTTAAAAGATTCATGTGTTTTTTTGCCTAATTGAGAAAATAATAATACATCCTAGTTATGGCTTGAGTCTCAACGCATTTGGTTGCTGTTTATGCCCAGTTAAAGAATATACGGTCTGTTATTTTGTTGGTTTTCTGTGTCTGTTTGTTTGAGTGCTTGGTTGGTCTTCTTTTTCTATATATTACCGTACTGTATGTACCTGTATAGTTTCGGTACAATTTCGCATACCTTTTAGTCATCTTTATATAATATCAAAATTAATGACTCCTGTTGCATCCTTATTTTTGTTCGCTTTAATACAGGAAATATTGAACGTACGAATCCTTGAGAATTTTCGTCGATGACAAAAGAGGTGAGCTAAGCGCAGCCAAACTTGCCTCATCATAACTTGTGGCGGCGAGTATTGATCTGTACAAGTGGTGTGGGCAATGTGTTCCTTTATTATTTACATCATTTTCTTCTGCCCTGATGAGGATAGTACTGTGGATATTGTGTGTGTGTGTGTGTGTGTGTGTGTGTGTGTGTGTGTGTGTGTGTATGTGTGTGTGTGTGTGTGTGTGTGTGTGTGTGTGTGTGTGTGTGTGTGTGTGTGTGTGTGTGTGTGTACAGGGTGGTGTAATGCGTCTAATGTGGCAGCATTATGTTAGTGTTTAGGTGCAAGCACTACTTGCTTCCTCTCGCTTTCAGCTACCGCCGCTGGCTAGCCTTGTGGCGAACAGGGAAGCAACTTGTACAAGTCTTCGCCTGCCAGAACACAGCATCTTCACCATCAAGACTCCTGCTGTGCTCCTCGTAGAAACACACGGTAAATGGGTGCCTCGTGGGCCCAGGCTAGACCAGCACGGGATCTTGGAGCAGCAGTGGGCCCCAGAGGGACAGTGCATAGGCTCACTGGCACTGCACCGCTGCCTTGCGGGTTAATCTTGGTGGGTATAAGGCTACGGAAGTAAACCCCGAACGAAAAATCTGCGGTGCAGCCCCGCATCAGGCAGACATGCTTACAGAGCTCCAACAAGACCCCAACGGCGGTATAGGCGGAAGAGGTGACCACCATAGGAACCCAACTACTACACCGGCGGATGAAGGCAGTGCATGTTGGACAGGCTACTAAGGCGAAACCCAAGAAACTGGGCTATCGGCAGTCCATTGCAACTGTCCCTCTCCCCAGTCGTTGCAACACTTAAGATAATATGAGATGAGGCTAATCTTCAGGTGATCCGATTTATGTAAATTAAACTGATCACCATTTTACTTATAATCTGCACAAAACCAAAGGATGTTGACGTGTGTAAATAATATGACGTAACAATGCGCAATGACTATATTAAGTGTACAGTATAGTTATCATTCTGATAATTATATCTATCTATACCTGTATTTTCTGTTTCTGATTTAAAAAGGTGTTACAATATATTGCGAAATTAGTTGGTCTTATATTTATGAGTTTGAGTACATTACGTATTAAACACCAAACAGCGGGAGTGAGAAGTTGGTAGAATAACGTTGGTTCGTCGGTAATGGTGTGGCAGATCCTTATGTTTACCACATTTACTATTGTTTTTCTTGTCCATTGCTTTGCCTTTTGCAAATTCAAAAATTGAAATTAGCTTATTTTTTGCTCTAAGCATTTAACAAAGTGTCTCCGCCTTAGGCCTGTCTGGAGTGGCAAATCAAATTCATATTTACAGCCTTATTTAACCTATTTCCCTTGCTTATTTTATTGTGTTATCATAACTATGTTTATTATAAAAGTTTCCTATTTCTTACAGCGTGAGCGAGTGTCTCCGTCACGCGGGGAGAGTGTAGGACTCTCTGTGGTCGCCTCCCAGGGGTGCGGAGGTGAGGTGTGTGAGGGCTGCCACGACGTCATCGTCGACCGCTTCCTTCTGAGGGTCAACTCCCGCTCGTGGCACCAGACCTGCCTGAGGTGCTGCGTCTGTCAGCTGGCCCTCGACCGCCAACCTTCCTGCTTCATCCGCGAACACAACGTTTACTGCAAGACTGACTACACCAGGTGAGTGTCACGCTGTGTACTACACCAGGTGAGTGTCACGCTGTGTACTACACCAGGTGTGTGACCCACTGTGTACTACACCAGGTGTGTGACCAGCTGTGTACTACACCAAGTGAGTGTCACGCTGTGTACTACACCAGGTGTGTGACCCGCTGTGTACTACACCAGGTGAGTGTCGCGCTGTGTACTACACCACGTGAGTGTCGCGCTGTGTACTACACCAGGTGTGTGACCCACTGTGTACTACACCAAGTGTGTCACGCTGTGTACTACACCAGGTGAGTGTCGCGCTGTGTACTACATCAAGTGAGTGTCGCGCTGTGTACTACACCAAGTGAGTGTCGCACTGTGTACTATACCAGGTGAGTGTCGTGCTGTGTACTACACCAGGTGAGTGTCGCACTGTGTACACACCAGGTGAGTTCCCTGCTGTATATTACACTAACATCAGGTGTGTACTACACCGCTATCGGGTAGGTGTCCGGCTGTGTAACATGTAAGTATCCTGCCGTTGTGAGTACTACAGTACATCAGGAATGTCTGGCCGCGGACTACTTTACGAGTTAGCTGCGTGTGAGGGTCAGCCTCCTTCATCGGCTGTGTTGTATCAGTTGTCAAATTTTGTGTTTTACGATTTTCGTCTGAGCTAAGAAATATGATATAATTACATCATAATTACATCATAGTCTCTCTTGTGTGGCAAAATCTTCATGAACTGTGTCAGTGACTACAATGAATTGGTATAACTTCGTCCCCATAAATATAATTATATTTTGATGGTCCTAAGAGTTTTTATAGACGCCATTCATTTTTGCATCCCCCCCAACACACACACACACACACACACACAGGCTTCAGGCGTTAATGTGAGGCGTTAATTAATTACCTGTCTGAAGACTCCCCCCATTACAACCACCATCACCACCATCAACCACCACCATCACCACCACCAGCCACCACCAGTTTTATCAACAGCTACAACAACCATAACTATCACCACCACCAACATCCTTAACAACCCATTTCCTCAACATCGCCACCCACATCAGCACAACCTTCACCATCACTATACTTTGACATCACTATTCATGACACTATCAATGACATCCTCATCAATATCATTAACCATAAGACCACGACCTTCACTATCTCCCACCATTAACATCACCACCACTTTCAACATCGCCAACCTCACCCTCACCGTTTCTTATTATCACTGCCTGCAACGTCACCACTTTCAACACCACCAACTACATCACAACCCTCACCATCACCACCATAAAACACCACCAACTCCTACATCACAACCCTCACCATCACCACCATAAAACACCACCAACTACATCACAACCCTCACCATCACCACCATAAAACACCACCAACTCCTACATCACAACCCTCACCATCACCACACCATAAAAACACCACCACCCTACATCACAACCCTCACCATCACCACCATAAAACACCACCAACTCCTACATCACAACCCTCACCATCACCACCATAAAACACCACCAACTACATCACAACCCTCACCATCACCACCATAAAACACCACCAACTCCTACATCACAACCCTCACCATCACCACCACCAACATCACAATCACCACCCATAAAACACCACCAACTCCTACATCACAACCCTCACCATCACCACCATAAAACACCACCAACTACATCACAACCCTCACCATCACCACCATAAAACACCACCAACTCCTACATCACAACCCTCACCATCACCACCATAAAACACCACCAACTACATCACAACCCTCACCATCACCACCATAAAACACCACCAACTCCTACATCACAACCCTCACCATCACCATTAAACACTACCACTTCCAACACCGCAACAATTACTTCACTCACACCGCCACCAGCCAGGGAGGGAGGGAAGGAAGACTGCACTATCGGCTCCATAACGTGTGGCCTGGTGAGTAATACCACCATCGGGCCGCTGGCTTGTCATCACCATCAACACTATAGATCCTCTCGCCTCATGCCCTCTATAGTCTATAACCATTTACGGTATTCGTAATTTTAGATATTACCCTTCACAATAATGCTTGCTTTGGTCTCTTCAAGGTCACATTCAATAATTATTATGTTTGAATACCAATGGATTTTGTTTTGTAATGCTGTACAATGAAATTATTCTGAGCCCTGCATCAACGTCTATGTAAAGTGTCATATTTTCTAACATTTACGTGTAAACATCAAATTATGTGTTGCAAACTTTTCCTAATGTAACAATGGCCTTATATATCTCTACCCTTTTCAGTGATTTTCAAATTTTATTGTTTTATAATAGGTATATACAGTATAAATAACGAAACACTCTTTGTAAAGTTAATAACATCAGATTCATGTTCTTCAAATTCCAACAATTTGTTTCACTAAAGAGAAAATCCTAAAATAACGACCCGTGTGAAGAAATGTAAGGTGAGGCAGCGAGACCAAGACGGACCCACAGAACAATTCCCGCCTTTCTCTTGTCAAAACGAGAATGCACCGGACAGTTTAAATAATGATGGTGCGATTATATCTCCTCCTCTTATCAAATCTATCGCTCGTTGAGACTATTTGCGCAAGCCAACGTCCTGTCTAGCAGTCTCCGGCAACTTCACTCACTTATTGCCGAAGACTTCCTGGAAAGTGATGTAACGCCTCTGTGTTACTGTATCTACCGACTACCATACATATAATCTTGGTTTATTTGTCAAAATAATTATATATTTAATTATATTTCTAAACCAATCTAGCGCAGTTTTTATTTAGAAATTTTGATTAATTTTTATAATCAATGAAATTTACAAGCTGAATTGAGACTCATATTTCACTTGTTATTAGGTCTAATTTCTTGTCAAGTGGTATTCATGAGTTTTATTGGTAAATTGATTATATAACAGCTGTAGGGTCCACCATTAACAGTCTTCATGGTGTAGGATTAAAATATCACCAAGTAAAAATGTTCATATCCGGTACACTGAAGATCTTCCCCAGCAATTTAAAAATGTTTGGGATATTTCATAAATTAATTACTTTTTTGATATTGATTTGTGTCACTATTATTATTAGCATTAATTATTTTCAGGTAGAGTTATCTATTTATATTTATTTTAAGTGGTTTGTCAGTAGACCAGCTCTGTAACGCTCGTCATCACACGTATTCTTTCAGTGCATCAGCTAAAGGTCGTTAATTTTTGTAATTCGCTTTTCAAAAACATTGCATTTTAACGATTGATACATAGTATACATTTTCAAAACATGTGTGCTGTAGGAAACTAGGACCTAGTGAATGATGCTTAATAGCACACTCAGGTGATGCACCTAAATTAAAAAGGAAAAAGAGAGTAAACTAGATTTAATATGACGGTAAGAGATTAACAACTATATTGTGACTACGGTCTTGATATTTGCATATTACAGTACTAATAACTTTATAAGACTCGTAAGTTAAACTAAATATAGTAAACAGTAAGACTCCAGAATAAACACCTTCCTAATACTGTGTTGACGTTTGTACCTCACGAGTTTCTTCATTAAAGAGCTGACTGACGAGGAAACAGTCGCAACCTGGTTATAGCCATCGATGAATGTTGTTTATTACTACAAAACTGAATATTTTCCTACAGTTCTGTAATTTAATGTGCAGTGTAAAACTGACTTAGCTGGGTGATGCACCTAAAACATAAAACAAGCATGATCATGGGCCAACACGACATTATATTTCATATAATACAGGTATATTAATGTTTTTCATCAACTTCTTCTTTATCTCTTTTACATGACATGGCACAAACTACACACGAAGAATCATGCACACACATGTTCAAGCCTGAAAAGCTTCACCAAGAGAGATGACCATCGTATAGCTCACCGTAGTTAAAATCATACTGAATTTTGGGGTTTGTTACGTAGTTGCTGCTGAGTGCTGAATACTCCAACGATATATATATATATATATATATATATATATATATATATATATATATATATATATATATATATATATATATATATATATGAAACATAATGTGTTGTCTAATGGTAGACCCTGCTGCCACATGGCATCACAAAATTTGTGACCAAGTCCCAGGTTGCTGATCTGACTTTCTGCCTCATTTACACACAATTGCAGGGACTCAATTGTTTCTCTTACTTTGACAACATAACATACGTATACCGATTCTCACTCTCTTTTTTTAACGGTTCTTTATTATTATGATTAATATTATTATTTGTATTATTATTATGATTTTTAGTATTTTTATTATTATTATTATTATTATTATTATTATTATTATTATTATATTTTCGCCCAACAGGCCCTGATGTGGGTCAGTGACCTGTGCCCGGGTGGGCTAATCCCCGTATGTATATATATATATATATATATATATATATATATATATATATATATATATATTATATATATATATATATATATATATATATATATATATATATATATATATATATATATATATATATATATGTGTGTGTGTGTGCGCGTAGGAGCAGCGGCGACCTGTGGTGTAATGGTCAGCTTGCTGTCCTCGCAAGCGAGCAGACATGGATTCTATCCCGAGCAGGGTGAAATTATGGGCAAGTTTTTTTTTCCGCCATTTGCCTGTCTACCCAGCAGTAATTGGGGACCTGGATGTTAATCGATTTGCGGATCGTGTTCCGGGGTAACGGTTAGCCAGTGCAGTTGGCGAGTTGTCCGGTCTTCTCGGACTATTTCTTGACACTGTGTCATGCAATTCGTTAACTTGGGGTGTGGTTATTGTGTTGGCGACAGCTTCTACACCTTAAACAAATTCACGCCTAGGTGGCCCCTGAGCCGGCCATCCTCGTTACACGAGGGGCAACCTATATATATATATATATATATATATATATATATATATATATATATATATATATATATATATATATATATATATATATATATATATATATATATATATATATATATATATA